GCGCAAAAGAACATTCTGGAACGAGAAAAAAGAACACTGCATTCGAAAGACGTAATTTGAATTTAAACTTGTGTACGTAATAACTGAGGGACTATAATTCGAGACTGGTTTCAAAACGTGCCGTTTTTTTCGGTCAACTGTGACTTACACACACAGGTACATTTTTGTAAAATTATTGTATGCATACCGTTTGTTCCATTTTCAAAATGCCTCGTGGGTGGCGTGGTGATGGCCGACTTCTATGTTGAGCGAAATATTACAGAGTTTTTCAATAGCTTTAAAAGTCTGTCATTTCTCTTTTTAGATTTCTTGTTTAGAATTTTGTGAGACATTCATAGTACACGTCCTGCTGAACTCTTTTTAGTTCCATTTTATTAAGTGCGTTCTTTCTGACCCCTAACTGAAGAGAAATATTGCACAAAATTTCCACCAGTTTAACCCGTGCCAGTCGTAAATGGCGATGCAAAGTAAGGGGCAGTTGCGCTATTTGATACCTGTCATTTGTCACACCTTTTATGGTAATAGATGGTGTTGTTAACGTAGGTGATGTAAGTGTCCACTGTCCACGATTTTTGCCAGTTATATTGACCGTACGAATGGGAGAGTATGCATGGCAAGGAAATATCGATATACATATGTATGTACAATCAGGGGTCAAAAATGCAATTGCACTGTAACAATTTTAAAATGACCAAAATATCTTTGTAGAGTAGAGTCAATGGTTGAGGACTGCTTTAATTTATAGCATAGAATCTAAATTATGGAATAAACTGGCTGTGAACCATTGAACTTTTACTACAAAGAAATTTTAGTCACTTTAAAGTTGTTAGGTAGAGTGTAATTGCATTTTTGACCCCTGACTGTACATTAAATTAAATTTTGTAATCACTACGATTATCTTCATGAACAGAAGAGTAAGGGTATTCGATATCAGAGACCCAAGGAAAGAATTACAAGGTTTTGTCATATCGCTGGCGAGCGTCAATGAGCTAGAATGAAAGTTCAGTAATCAAATACCGTCATGGTATTTCTTTTGGCCTTTGGCCTTATCAAAATCCAACAAGAATCATAATCAGAATCTCAAGCTAAAGCAAAAAACAAACACAAACAAACAATGAATTGTTTTCAAGGAACCAACTGACTCAAATTCTTATGTAAACAAGATTAAAAATTTATAAATAACAGTGTAAGTAAATCTACAAACAATCGAATTAATAAATCTTCGTGATTTTGTGAAAAATTGATAAAGTGTTCCAATAAACTGATTTTCAAGATAAAAACGTGACAAATTTTATTGTAAAAGAATATGACAATGTTTCTGATGCAATTGCGGTCTGCCAATAATATATAGATAAGGCAGAGAATATTAGAGACGAAAGATAACACACACATTACAATGATCTTAGTTTTTCACTGTAGGTAATGGTGCATGTTAATTTTTTTAAACATAATTTATTATTTAGAAGCGAACCGATGCAATGCTGATACTAAAATTCGCCGATACGCATAAAACTTCCTTACTGTTTATTCGCTTACTGTTTATTTATAATAACCGTAGGTAGTTTTAAAGATTTAAGCACACATAGGGATATGGGGACGGAGAAAGCGCTTTTGTTCGGTTCGATGTGACCAATTGTCCATGTAGACTCTACATACCTACTACTACTTTAAACTTAATCTCTGTATTGTAGAGAAAATTAGAACCAAATTGCTACAAAGAATTTTGAACATACAAATACAAATGAGACATTCGAATAATTTTTAACCATAGCCAAAGAAGATTAGTCTAGTATGAAACATGAGAAAGCAGAAATAAAAGAAAAACTTGAAAAACTAAATATGAAATACGACACAAATTGTTCCAGAAAATTCGTTAGAAGTTTAAAAGCGTCACGATAAACGGATAAGCGATGTAGGGTGAATTTAGGTCAAGGGCGTTTCGAAGGGCACTCTCCTTGAACACGTATTCAAAGGACATTAGCAGAATTACTATTTACTAGAGCGAATACATTAGATTACACTATCAAATCCTGTTAAGCGTTAACTGTAAAATTGTCTCAAAGCCTTGCATATTATTTGTTCTTGAGTTACATTTTCTTAAATAGCTGTGGGTTTTAACGTCCGCTTCCGCAAGATCGAATCCGTTGATCTTTTTGGGTTTTCCGGTATTATCAAAATACCTGTTAAACATTCTTGTAAGTAAAATGGAGGTCATTTCTTTTGATAAGAATATTTTTTAAGCTTAAGGAATGTATGTTCGAAAAGTAATGTAGCTTTAAGATTTTAAAGTGTGCTACATTTCTCTGAATTTAGTATTATCTGTGACTTTTTTTTTATTTTTTTTAGAAAAACGTTGCCCCACATTAGGATTTTCTTCTGTGTTGTGGGTGCTGTTACAAACATACAATTTCACAAACACATGACACCCATACCCGGAACAACAATTTGTGGATCACACAAAGAGTTGTTTGAGTCGAACCCGCGACACGTTGCACGGCAGCCAGTTGCCCAGCCACCGCACCAACCGTGTCAAAACTATACTCAAGCGTATCAAAACTATACTTACTCCCCACGTTCGAAACATCGCAAACATTATAAGTTACCTCCATCTTGAGTAGGTCTAAAGGCAAAAGCTATTTATAGATATACATATCTTTCGGGCGTCTATTGAGTTACTTACCTTAAACAGGACTCTTATTTCGGCATCCACCTTGGTCTGAAGGAGGTTTGGGGCTCAAAAGTTTTTATTATATTCCTTTGAAGTTACTCTTCAACATTATTGAATTCTGTTACTTATTTTCTTCTCGTAATAGATCCTTAATCGGTTCGATATAAATGGATGCCACGGATAATTTATTTTATTTTCTAAGAAAATCCTACTTGTATTCTTTATCATGTTCATCTACGTATTTTAGAATAAAAAACAGATTTTTAAAAAGGTTTATTTATTCCATTCATTCAATTTCAATAAAGCCGTAATAAAAAACGACATCGCATGCGTCCTTAAACACCATTTTAGGTTAAATTATCAATCGTCCTTCAAACAATTAAAACCTTTATCGTTATCTAGATATAAGATCTCATGTCGCTTCACAAAGATAATAATATTTACGACACGCCTCTTTAAATCAATGGTTTCCTTGACATTGTTTTGCGTAATTTTGGCATCATTTACCGTGTTTGTGCATTTGTTTGTAAATAATGTGAATGCGTGCGTACGTGGCTTCGTCCATGTCCCAACGTTCGAAATGAGTCGGCAGGACAAACTGGGCTGCGTCAACCGACAGCTTCAATTCAGTTCACACAAGTAATTACATGGAGTTCGGTAATAAAAATGATTTAGCATTTATTTGGACAAACAAGTTTCATAATATGAAGTAACTTTTCTATTCCATTTTTAAAAATAAATTCATATAAAGTAGAAGGTATGTTACGCTGTTACAAGTTTAAAGTTTAAAAAAAGAACAAGAAAGAATGTTTACAATAATATTAGAACTAATGTTACCGCATACCGCGATAATGAATAGATCAATTAAATAACAGTTATTTTAAACTGATAGTGTAAAAATAAAGTGAAAAAGTTATACCTGACAGTTGGCGCCGGTTTGTCGGGGCGCGGGGAGGAGGGGGCGGCGGTGTGCGCGGGGGGTGTCACAACTAGCAGCGAGTGAGGTCAAGTCGGTGCATCGCCGAGAGATGGGACAACAGTCACGTTTTTTTATCGATGTTTTATCGATATTTCGTTTCGTTACTTCCGATTTCGATTCCGGGTTTAATCGGAAATGTTTAATTGAGCTATTTGTTTTTCTAATAAATGTAAATAAAAGTGTATTGAAATAGTATATTAAGGACTTGTCTGCTAGTATATAAGACACAATAGAAAACAATGTGTTGCGTAAATCTACCCTGTATATCACATATGGGGCCTAACATGGCAAATGTTGTAGGATTAGCGCAATAATGTAAGTGCCGCGGCCTAGGACTGGAGAAGGAACAGGGTTTTCAGTCAGTAAGAGTCTGACACCTCCCTTCGCTTCGTCCTGGGCGAGAGAAATCATTCGATGATTTTCCATTCACAAAAAAGTACCACGTGGCATTGTACAGCATTTCGGATTTGATTAACTTTAAATCAACATAACTGAACGTTATTCGTTCAGTAATGTTAATTTTTTTATTCACGATTAAATAGATATTTAATAAACTTTACGATAATAGAGAACTACTAGCTGATATTTTTCTACTAACGACTACATGACATAGCACATGTATTTATTTATTTACATTTTATAATTGTTGTCCGGTAATCCCAATAACCGCGGGCACGGCAGGAAAATCCATAGATAAACACAAACTACAAAATGCACAATGTTTACCTACTCCTACTTATTACATAATTCTGTGCAACAAAATAACACGAGTCTTATTACAGCGAATAGGAAACACTAATTTCAAATGTGTGTGCGTATGTTAGGAATGCACATTAGCCAGACAAATTGACTACACCAAAGTTTATTTTTTTGCTTGTGAAATCCTGTTTTTAATTAAGATTTTCGGAAACCCTCTTATTTATAGAATTTCTATCGTCTAGCAGTGAATTTGTGGCATCGGATGTATACCTGTGTATCTGATCCTAAAATATACTATAAAAATATTGGTGTAACTACTGGTAATTTTAAAACGACATATTAAATAAAATAATAATAATTTCTTTAAAAAGGATATTGAACTTAGTTAACAATGCGCTAAGAAATCTCATTTTGAAATACACCACGCTTTAAGAATTCTAAAATGTGTAAGATTGCTGTGAATTCCGTTTAGAAGTTAATAACAATAGGTGCATTGAAACAACAATGACAACTACAAACGTGTGTGTTATCGCACAATACCCAACACTAGTGAGGTCAGAGAGACCGGAGTAGAGGGGCTCCCTCTGCGACCCGCGCGCTGCCGTCCCCCGCCGGCCGTATAAATCGGTGCCCCCACACGCGCGCCGCGTCTAACGTTACTGCGCCACCGTATAGCTCGGTTGTTCTACGATCGCAATACCACGCGCTACATAAATTGTGAAAGTGTTGCTTATAAAACGTGATTTCTCGAGTGAGAGTATATTGCCGCGCCTAAGAACCAAGAAGACGTGACGCCCTCGCAACGTAATATCAGTGGAAGGGGAATTGTCTCGTGTATTTGAGCTTGGAGAGGGGTTCAATGGAAGCGAGGTTCGTGACCTGCCGGAGTTTCCAGCAGATCAAGCCGCCTGAGAAGAGCCTCGCGCCGTCCCCACCGACGGTGAAGGGGCTCCTGTCTCGATTCGGGAGTCAGGCACAGGCTTTGTTCGCGCCCAAGAAACCCCGTTTTGGATCGTCAGTAGCCATACATAAGCTCCGTGAAACCAAGTGGTTCAAACATGACGAACAGAACATACTGTGCGCCGTCTGCGAATCAGGATTCATCCTCGAGGTGCGAGCTGAGGACCCACTGCCCCCGGACTCAGTACTGTCGCCAGACTATCACATGTATGCAGTCGCCATGTGGAAGAAGGGTAAAGGTGTGTACCATATGTGTCTATTATAAACTTAACTTCTTATCGGTACTAAATTGTAAAACATAAAATGAATTTAAAGTTGTCGCGGTCGTCATGATATGCATCGTAATGAGGACGCGTTGATAACGTTCGCTCCGTGTGAGCCTCACATCGAGACTAAATAAAGTTGGCACAATTCAGCCACGGTCACACGTAACCAGACGAATTCACAATAGCGTTTGTAAATAATTCATGTGCATGCGCGATTCGCCTTAATGAGATTAACGAATGGACTGTTGATGCGTTAAAGCTCGTATAGCAGTCGGCAATACGAGGTGAAGTTTCGAAAGAGCAAAGGCCTTGGAGTTTTTATTCTCATAAAAATATCCGAGACGTCTGTGGAATTTCCGAGCGCGACTTGAGCGATCCGGTTTTTAACGAAAAAATTTTGTTCTTCCGACAGAAAAAACAAAGAACCCGGAACAGATAGAAGTGTACACAGTTCAACAGAAAGGTGTGAGAAAACGTGTCGTGAAGACCACACTGGGTGCCTTTTGGAAGAAGGACTCCGTGATACGCATCAACAATGTGGACGATAAACAGGAGACGCCGAACAACGAGAAAGATATCAGAGCAAAGGTAAGCAAACACAACGAAACTTTCGGAAGTCCACGTTTCCAATTCCAATATTTACTAAAACACGATAGCGTATGTTGCGGCTGTATCCCCTCTAACTCTATCACCTATAGTTACAAATCATGATATCTATGAATTATTTCAGTTGCACAGTTTACGTGTGACTGATAAATTAAATTATTGAAACAATATCGAAACACATACAACTTGATATTTGAACTAGTGACATAATCACACGGCCTTCAATAATCCACGATATATTTAACGCCGAGGCTAAAGTTTCATACGAGTCAAAGTTTTGTAATGTAACATTGCTAAAACCAGACAGACTGCCTTGTAAAAGATTACGACATGACACTATGGACATGACGCCAATTCGAACAAATTGTAATCGTGTGATAATACTTTCGCGGACATGATTTGTAATCTATAATTATTGGACTTTAGATTTGTCGAGCAATAAAAATTCACGAAATGATAATTTATCTCTAAAACAAATCCCCGTGTCAATTTAACATTAGTGTTATCTTGAAATTGCTGTAAATATTCCGTTTTCCTTTTCAACTAATCACATAGAGTAATGCATGACATAATTCCAACCGTCAGTGGTTTATCTTAACTCTCGATCGAACTTAGACGTTCTTCCTTCAATACCGTAGGCTTGCGTCAGAATTGGAAACCTCTCGTTTCAGATAGCGAAAACCTCAAGGGGTCTTTCGTTTATTGGAAACTGTGGGCACACTCGAACAGTGGAACAGCTACTAAGGAGCTTCTACTGATTGCAGCTGGATATGGCAACTAAGTCAAGGTTCGAGAGGAATTGGCACAATACCCTGCACTTCGTCCACTGGTGCAGATACGGAGAAACTCCGCAAGAGGCTCGCATGAGACAGGTAAATTGCACACAACTATAATATACACACAGAAGTGTACGATTCTAGAAACCAATAAACGCGTTTATCGAGCTCGCGACTTCAGTTACAATACCGTGTATTTTGTACGCGCCTCATTACCTCCCGTATTCCGTATACAACACGTATTTGGTTCTAGAATTTTTTTTATTATATTACTGCATGCGAATGCATAGTCGCAAAAAGTAAGGCCGCCTTTACAACGTAAGGAGCACGTTCTAACGGCAGTATTACTTCACCCCTGTACATTTCTATCTTCAGTCAAGCATTGTAAATGCTTCTTGATACTTAGCTTATTGTGAATGTCTATGCTGACTGATTGTTGACTATGGACTGAATGGGGAACCGAGTCAATGGCACATCAAGACTGGCGATCATCCATCATGCATGGGGCATAAACTGGGTCCGGAAAGTAAAAAAGAGATCGCACAAAGCAGAAATTTTGTTACAGATCAGCTTAACGACGTCGAAAACACCTATGATTATCATCTTTTGATGGTAATCGTTGAGGCGCTTTGGACACTTACAGCTGGCAAGAATAACAATACCGGTGAGGTTTTGAATTTTACAGATTGTAAGATGTAGGAGTCAGTGTGCCTTCTATGTTTTCTAACTCTATGTTATATGTGCGTGGTCGTGTACGACGATGGAGAGATGATTTGAATATGTCCGACTATAGTTCAGTACTCACTAATACGGTTTAAACGTAACTCTCTCGTGCAGGAAAAACGATGTGTTAAATACGGGTATCGTGTAAACACGCACGGAGGCGAATTAGGCAATCAATTGGTAAAAATTGTTCAATTTAACATCCAATCGTGCGTACAAAATATAATGATCATCGATTTATTAAGTTATTAAATCGATTAAAAGTTATAATCGGTATTTTAAATAACTTTACGGGTTAAACTCAAATGTCATTTAATCTTTTCTAAGAAAATGTTCTAGAGTGGAATGTACGAAATAAGCCGAGAATGTTTTGCATAGCGACTGTTTAAAAAGTGAAAGCGATTCAACATTCGATATCGATACATGTAACAATGTTATAATTTTTTTATAAACAATCATATCATATAATTCTTACTATGGAACGAACATTTGCATTATAAGTTACTTTTTATTTAATATTAACGCGTCAAATATTTTACAAAATGCGTCTAGATTTAAAACTTTAAACTATCAAGTATCATCAATTTAAAAAAGTATATTCCATATACAATCTAAATAAATATCCAGTAAAAAACATCAAAACGGTCATTAAAAAGGTAAACAAAAAACATAGATTAAAAATAAAATTATTTTTTTTATTTTGATAACTTACAAATTGAGGAAAGTTGTAACTATGGACACTTTAAACTCAAAGATAAAATGAAGTACTTTCATTAATGTTATCAATAGGTCTTCATAATAAATGCAATTGAGTTATTCAAAACATATTACATAACACTATAGTAGGTAATGTAATAAATGATAATTGAAGTGTTATATTTGCAAACTATTCGCATCTATTAGAATAAATTCTATCAATTGACATTATTACACATTTTATTAAATCTAAACAGTGTTTTTTAAATACATAAAACATTTTTATTTTTTAAAACCAATGTAATCTGACCCTCGAAGGTGTGGAAAGATCATACTAAGCGGGAGCTTCGTAAATTGCTCTCGTATGGGTATTTATTAATATATATTTATGCTCGTAAGGTACACGTAATCGGTAAACAACGTAGACATACCGAAACTTAGAAGAACGATACTTAATGGTTTGTTTATTTTTAAATACGTCAATGAAGTACAACTTTTGCTGTCCCTACGTCAAATTCAAGGAAAACCGCATGGACAGGATAGAAACTATAATTTAGTTTAAGTAATGTATTCCGGAAAATTAAAAGGAAAATATTAAATTGACAATATCATTTTGGGATATTCTATGTACTTATATTTGAATCAATTTAATTTTATAATTACACATATATTTATCATCATATTAGAAGCGCCATCAACTGTTCAAGAATCAATTTTTAACTGCGCCATTTATATGATATAGATACGTATGTAGGTAGATACCAGTAACGTAATACTTAAACCGCCCACGAACTTCGAGGTCGTAGTTAAAAAAAACCTCAAAGCAAAATACTCGATATATTGACACATTTGACAGTTGTCATAATTGACAGCATTCGTCAAAACCGTCAAAAAATAAAAAATGGCCGCCTACGTTAGAGATATGAGACTCGGTTGTCTTAAAAAAAAAGTTATATTTGGACACGCAAAACGATAAACTCGAAGTAACTATGCGACCTATCCAACACTACAAGAAATATTTATTAAAACATTTTATCGAGTGTAAAGCAGTTACAACCGGCCGTTACAATAGATAATTACTCAAGACTGCGGACCGTAGTACCATTTTGCTTTACAAATGGCATTGAAGATTTATTATCACAATTAAAATATAAATAACTCAATTTGAAGAACGTAACATTAACCAAAAACGTCAATTAGAAGAGTTTTACGGTTTCTTATTTCTATACTTTTCAAATCTATGCACAGATGTGACTTCTCAATGACTTGTACATAAATATAGTCGAAGTATTTTGTCGTATCGTTGAAATGCTCAGTTTATGTCTGATGAATACTAATTGGAACCACACCTTCAGTTACGTAACATTGCATAGCACATTAGTATCACTTGCAATTTATTACAGTATCATTTGTACATTCGTTATGATAGTCACGAACCGACCTTTCGCACTCTCGAGTTAAATGTAGATAAAATTTTACGAGCCATTTAATAAGTCTGTCCAGACACGGATACAAAAAATCAAATAAGAAAATTTTCCATCAAATATTATAAACATACCTAATTACTATAATAGTGTTCTAACAATAAAAATGTGTAAGTCGTTTGTGATAGTCGAGTTCCTAACAGTTCTTTATGTTCACAGTCCATTAACCGCTTTAAATGTGTTATTGAAGTTTTAGACTAATTCGCGGTGACGTCTATACTAAAATCCCTGTATTTTAGAAGTCTTCTTTAGACTAATTTCCCAATGTATTTGTTGCAGATAAGCGAGTCGTTCAAGTGGGGTAACGTCGGCATGAATATGGGTGTGATGCTTGTCAGTCAGAACTACGCTAGAGAAAAGGCCAAGTCCGTCTGAGTGTCATCAACCAGCGGCACCCACTCCGCTGGTAAATACTCTTGCTACGCCTGCTTCTGGCCATCACCCAAGAAAATCGACCACGTCTAAATAATGTTCCGGAACTTTTTTTTACGTTCCCAGTTTCAACATGAAACGTCACTATCGGTTTACGTTTGAATTTGGAATTGCATTTCTGATTTAAATGTAGAATTTAGAATCCGATTTGAATAGATTCTCAATTCGGATACACATCCGTGTTGGAATAACTTTCACTTCGGAACTATTCTTGATGAGATCGGATATTTTTTTAAATGGATTTTATGTATTTGAATGTTCCTTTCTTATGAATTTCATTAAGTGTACTCTTTTTGTTTCGTTGTCTTTCCTGCCAGTATTTACTTTGACAACTTAGCTATAGTAATACTGTCTCCGTTTAGAACTTGGAAATTGTAGGGGCATCTTTCACAAATATTAATATATTTGGACCAAATTCGATACATTTTAGATCCTGTTATACTTTTAAAAGTTTAAAAGTAGATAGCTTAATAGATAGCGAATGTAGTCTTCGAAAAAATCTAGCTATAAACCGCCTATAAGTTTGTTAAAGAGGAAATTGTGAAAGTGGCCCTCTGTAGCTTTAATTCGGACTTAAAAATATATGAAGAAAACATTCCTGTTGTTAAAAAAAGACGCCCCTCGGCTCGTATGCTAAATATAATAAATAACTATATGCTAATATTAAAGCTATTTAATATTTAATCTTTATCTATCTGAGAGTGGTAACCCTAGTCTTATGAGTAATTGTATCACTCCTTCTGATTTAATAAGACTGTTTTATTTTTTTTCCAATTCGAAATTCGATTTTTCGTTCGAAATCGCTCAATGTGGATTGAATTAGTCAAAAGAAGTATTGTTATGTTGGCCAACCCAGTCGTGAGGTTGGCAATCTTGAAAGTATTTTTTAATCTGTGTAGTTTATGAGAGAGGTTAATAATGTAATGTTAATTGTGACAGATTGACTGTTGTGAGAGTTGTACTCGTGTATGTTTAAACGTTCTATTTATAATGAAGCATTTTTATGAATAAATGATAACTTTATAATATTGTTTCGTTTTATTTCTTACTATTATGTACGGTAGAGTTATCGTTTCACAAATTCATATAGGTAATAAGTATATTGTCATTCCTTCACTTAAAGGCCGGCTAGTGTGAACACATTCTGCCTGCCTTAAGACAATGCCAAGCCTAAAATTACTTAAATAAATCAGAATATTAGGAAGAAAATCTATTCCGAGATATTTATGTCACCCTGTACCTGAGATAAATATAGAAAAACTGAGAGAATATTTTAGGCATATTTCATTAAGTCCGGAGCAGAAAATTTGAATATACCTATAATATAAATTGTTTGATCTATCTACCACTTACATTTATCAGGTACTTAAACAACATTATTAAGTAAGTTACATTACATTATCATTAATGTAAGAAATCGTAGTTATGACTTATTTTATACCTTCCTATATCTTTCGAGGATCTTTTGACATCTATTACAAAAACTTTGCAATAAACTAAGTGGACAAGTAAGCAAAAAGATAAAAACAAAATTACTTACAAAAAAGGTTAACGCTATAGGCTCCCTCTATCGTTTCATTCTTAATCTAATTGAGGAACGCGTTTCTCAACTATCATGGATAAACAGCACTAAGTTTTGTTTAAATAAACGCCATCTATTGTGCATTCCCTGTACTAACTCTATCAAGGAATTCAAATGCAGATTACAGTCGTTGTTTTATGCCAAGAAGATTCCTAACAACACGAATTTAAAGATGAAAATAAACATGGACTTTAATCTTTTATAAATAGCTTTAAATATAAGGTGCTTCGTCATAATGCGTTAATTTGAAACACGCAGGTTGGGAGTCATGTTTTTCATCCAAACTAATATGTATTATAAATGCTAAAGTAACTCTGTCTGTCTGTCTTTTCTTCACGCCTAAACTATTGAACCGACATAGAAATTCGGTTAAGACATAGCTTGGAACACGAGAACGTTTTTATACAAAAAATCTGCAGGAAGTCACTATTCCACGCGAACGGAGTCGCGGGCAAAAGTGAGTATATTATATCTTTGCTTACAATTAAGTATAAAATTTCATATCTCTCTTACACCTATCCAGGTTCAAGCTAACATACGGAAGAGATCTACCTATACTTTCATATCATAAACTTAAATATACTAAAACTGGCACTTATCCTTTACAAAGATGGGCGTTTCTTTTGAGTGGGAAAAGAATCAAATTGCCTCTCTCGCCCTTGGTGAGGCAAGACAGAGAGTGAAACCCCGTTCCTTCTGCTACAGACCCGGACCGCGGTATATACCTAATGCTTGCATATATAGACCTAAGCTTGTAGTTCACTAGCGACCCGTCCCGATTTCACACGGATTGTGTTGAGGATGCAGTGCTGATAGTAAACTTCTTTACTATTTAATGGATGTTACTATCCGTATAAACCTTCCTCTGAAATCACTCTATCTATTAAAAATACCGCATCTACATTCGTTGCACAGTTTTAAAGGTTTAAGCATACCTACATATTAAGGACAAGTTCAAGTGTGGGAGAGCCATGCTTTGGCACGTATGGGTCGGCTCGACCGGAGTGATACCATGGCCTCACAGAAAACCGGTGTGAAACTACCACGGCGTTGTGTTTCGCCGTGTGAGAGAGGTTACCGGAGGCCCAATCCTTCCACTCCTCTAATCCCTCCTCAATCCCTAATCCCTAAAAGGTCGGCTACGTACTCGTAACTCCTCTGTTACGGGTGTCAATGGGCGGCGCGACTTTGGTTTAACAATCACTCTATCTGTTAAAAAACCGCATCAAAATCAGGTGCGCACTTTAAAATACTCAATCACTCATATGATGTAACAAATCGTCAGAGAAAGTGACTTGGTTTTATACTATGTATGTGAAACATTCGTAAAGAATGTTGTAATATCAGTCATTGGAATCATGACAGTAAGTATTAATTAATACAGTTATATTATTTAACCTTACAAATGACTTTATCTAATTAAAGGTTCCAAAGTCGAGAATGCAGCTTATATTTTAAGGTGATTTTTAATCAGGTTATTGCTATCTCATGTTCTGATAATGTGAAGAGAGGGACAGAAAATATGTCACGCTCCAAACATTCTACAGTTTTAGTTGAGAATTGTTAATTAGTGCTTATAAAAACGTTACTTATCGTTTTTATTTAATTGTTTAATTAATAAAAGCAGTGTTTGACCGTATTCTAAATATATTTGGGCAAACCCTGAATCGATAAGTTAATTCGAAGTTATACGTGTATGTCGGAGCGTAACGAACGGAACTCTTTGTATGATGGAATTTAAATAGTTGCCACCTCTTTGCTTAGTACGAAACTTCAAGCGGTTAGCTTGAGTGAGGTTGTTACGGGGCTGGCAGCTCTATGATGTGGTTTGGTTGGCACTGTTCTTTTTTCGAGCATGGCAGCCAACTGAAGGGTGACAACTGGACAGTCAGAAGAATTTGGTGAGCCAGCCCGTAACGAACTCACTACGTCCGATGGTAATGCATCAACCCAGCATAGAAGACGCTGAAAACGAGCCTTCATTCCCTACTCCGTCATATATATATACATACACGTGGGCGAGTCATGCTTCGGCACGAATAGGTCAACTCGAGCGGAGTTATACCACCGTACTCACTGCACATCACGCATACGTGTCGTCTACATTGCGTTATGGAGTAATATTTTGGGGAAACGCATCAGATAGGGAGCTAGTATTTAAGGCACAAAAAAAGTGTTTAAGAGCAGTATGTCAAATAAAAGCTACTGACAGTTGTAGACCACACTTTATTGAGCTAAAAATAATGACTTTTCCAGCTTTATACATGTTTGAAGTAGCAATGTTCGTTAAAAAACATCTAAATTTATTTGAAACCCTAACTAGTAACCGTCACCGGGACATTATTCATGTAAGACCCCATAAAACAGCATTATACGCAAAAAGCTTTCAGGGAATGGCTCCAAAAATTTATAATACGATACCCAAGGCTATTAGAACTGAGACTGACATACACAAATTCAAAAGAATGCTTACAGACTTTATGGTTAAAAAAGCGTACTATTCCATTGGTGAATTTTTAACAGAGGGAATAAACAAAAAGTAATTGTTAGAAATTCCGTTACATAAGGTGTCCGATTTGTTTATGATATACTCTATTTGACTGTGTTTATAATTTAATTTTTGTAAAAATAATAATATTGTATTCCTTATAAATATAATTAAATTTGTACGCCTATAAGGTTAAACATAGCGATCCTAACATTGTAATTACATCTTATCTTTACCTATGTTCCACAAATAAATAATTTAAATTTGAATTTGAATTTGAATTTGAATTTGAATTTGAACGGCATCACAGAAAACCGGTGTTTCACCGAGAGAATGAGTTTATCAGAGGCCCAATCCTACCCCTCCCCCGATCCCTCGTCTATCCCTAAATCTCCAAAAGGTAAAGGCTCGTAAGTCGTACTCCTCTGTTGTTGCGGGTGTCCAAGTGCAGCGCTGATTGCTTACCATCAGGTTATAAGTTTGATCGTTTGCCGACCTATCACATAAAATAAATATTAATATTGTTAGTTTATTATTTATATGATTTATATTTATTTTCCGTTGAGGATATTTTGGTTGGATTGAAGACAATTATAATATTATTGGAGGCACTAGACTGATGTGCGGTAGGTATACCGCATACAATAAACACCATTTAGTAGCGGAATTAAAACGACATTATTTTTCCTCTCTAACATCATTAGGGCGGATTTCCGCAAAACAAAACCAGATTATATAAAGCTTTCTTTTCCCTGTTTTAAATTAGAGTTAAACCCTAAACAGCAATTTATGGATGACGCACTATTACAAGTTCGTTGCACGGCAGTCGATTGTATTATTTGTTTTATAAGAAAACAATACATAAATAAAATAACCCTCCAAACATACTAATTCGAGACACAATAGAAGACAAATAGGTGCGCGAACACGCGGTTCGCGTTTCGCTTGGATTTTTATGAATTAACTCGAAGAGTGCCAACCATTAGTTTAAAATATAGGTAACTCAATTATGCCGTCACACGTTGTTTCATATCAAAATATCGCCATAAAATTATTCTATTCAGAAAGAAAAGAAGAATATTCTTCAAATATTTCGGTAATACTTTAAAAAACAGATTTTAATATAAAAATTTGTCATTACCCTTATTTCTAAGGAGTCGAATTAAGTAGTCACCTAATCAATTAAAATATAGGTATTGACTCGTGAAGTGACACGTTTTTATCAGATAGAAAAGGAAAATATGTATCAACTTTTTTTAATCAACTATAAATAATACTGCAACTGTAGTAAAAAAAAGTCATCTTCAATGCATAAGTAGCCATAAATGACTGAAGTACGGCGATTAGTCCTGACGTCTATTCGTCTTAGACTACCGACTAAAACCTGTTGAAGGCCAACTTCTTCTAGAATCTGACGCCTTTATCCAAAATGGCGTTCAGTGTGTTAAGCTAAAAAGAAACCATGGCACTTACCTCTCTAAGCAGTCCGAACAGCATGTCCGTGGATAAGGACCTCTCGTGGGCCTCGTCCATGATGATGGCGCAGTAGTTGTCCAGGTCGGGCTCGCGCAGACCTTCGCGGAGCAGGATCCCGTCCGTCATGTACTTGATCACGGTGTTCGGGGATGAACAGTCTTCGAAACGGATCGCGTATCCTACTTCGTCACCTGAATCGGGAAATTTTAGCTTAATATATTGGTAAGAAGCAACCAGAGGTGTCATAGAAGGTATGCTATATGTATTTTTGTCAGTTTTATTATTACAATTGTATGTAGGCGAAGGAGTTTTCGGAATTTACAAGCAATCCCTATAAACCCAAAATGGCCAGGATGGAGGAGGGAAAAGATTGGTCCTAACCAACCTCACTCGCACGGCGAAATACAGCATAATTATTGTTTCACGCCGGTATTATTTGAGACCTGAAGTGAATCACTCGAGTAATTCGTCTGCTCGTTTGCCGTCCTATCATAGGTATAAGAAAGTATAATGCCAACATTTTTTTTGATTAGCATTCCGTAAGGGGCTTTTTACACACATTCCACACAATCAATTAGGTAAGGTAAGGTAAGAAAGTACGTACCGAGTTTAGTATTCATTTCATCGGAGACTCGCTTGGCGACGGACATGGCGGCGACGCGGCGCGGCTGCGTGCATCCGATGGTGCCGAGCCGGCTGAACCCTTCCTCGTGCAGGTACTGCGTCAGCTGGGTCGTCTTACCACTGCCCGTCTCACCTGAAGCCACGAAGGTCATTCGTTCATCATCATCATCAGCAAAGGCTTCTACTCATACGGAGAAGGTTTGAGAAGTAATCACCACGCAAGCTCAAGGTGATTGGTGATTACAAATTTGTAATAAGATTCATCCTCATTTTGGAATTTTGATGAATTAATTAATGATCTTTTCTTATCCTTTTTTCCCTTATTCCCCTTTTTTCCAACTTACCGACAATGATGACGACACTGTTTTCCCTGATGACCTGCATGAGCTCCTCCCTGACTGCGAACACAGGCAGGAACCGTCTCTGCTCAGCTATTGTCATCTTCTTTACGAAATCTGACTTCGATTCTACTTCTGGAGCATCTGAAGAGAAGAATTCAAGTTAATTACTTAATCAGCAATCAAAATATATAAATAAAAAAATAAAATATGATAATAACATCACAATTCTGCACCCCACACAAAAAAAGAAATGTTTAGAGTTTTTAAAAATAAAAATTCGATGCATATTTTACTCCAAGACCTATTGACACTGCACAGGTTGACAAGTGTGCAGTCCAATTAGATCACCATTAAATCTATATCTATATATTAAATAATATAATACCTTTGTCCATGTGTTCAGCGTACTTGTATGCATCCTTTGTCGGACCATCCTCCATTTCCTCCTCCTTTTTCTGAATACCCATGATGTTACCTTGAAACAAAAAAAAAGTAAAATTAAACAATCCAATACAATCATTTTTATTTGTTAACATAGGTACCTAAATGAATGTAATTTTTTTCTTTATTCAAGAAATAAGTAAGTAAGTAAGTATTTTATAATTTATAAGGTAAGCCTCACAAAATCGTTACAAGGGGTAATTTGAAACAGGTCGGGAAGTTAGTATACGGTTTGATTTTTTTAATTTAAAAAAAATTTAATCAGTTTTCTAGTTTTATTGTTTTTCTATCTTAAGGCAACTTTTAAAATCATGCAACATTATCACCATCTATTTCATGAAAAAAAAATATGAAAAACAAACAATCTCATACCAATTTTAGTTCCCTCTAGCTTCCAATGTTTCTTCTGCGCCTTTCTTCTTTCCTTCTGTTCCCTGAACGCTTTCACGAGAGCCGAGCCCTTACGAGCGTTCATCGCCATATCTGACGTCGGATCTTTCACCTAGAATAGATTAAAATAACAACTAATATAGTAAAATGTACTTATTATTATTATAAAGCTAAAGAGTTAGTTTGTTTGAACGCGCTAATCTCCGGAACTAGGTTCGAATTGAACAATTATTGTTGTGTTTGTTAGTCCATTTATCGAGGAAGGCTGTAGCTGAGCAGCGGGTGAAACCGCGTGAGAGGAGTTAGTTTTGTAATAATCGTTAAAGGATTTTGGTCTATGATCTTGTTCAGATAATTTAAGTAGACCCATGTTTCGATGTTTCGGTACAAATGGGGCAGCATGAAACGACTTGTGTTTCGCTGTGTGAGTGAGGTTACAGGAGGCAAAATCCTCCCCCCCCCCATCTTCAATCCTCAAATCTCCTATCTTTAAATCCCTAATAACCAACAAGAGGCCGGCAACGCACTAGTAGTAACTTCTTTGGTATTACAATACAAGTGTCTATGGGCGGCGCTGATTGTTTACCACCAGGTAATTGGTAAGCTCGTTTGCCGATCTAGGATATAAAAAACCATGCTAGGGTACAAATAGGTCGGCTAGACCAGATCGGCCACGGCCTTACAAAAAACTGGTGTGAAACGACACTTAAGGTTGTATTTCGCTGAGTGAGTGAGGTTACCGGAGGCCAAATCCCAAATCCAAAATGGGGAGAATCCTATTCGTCCCCAATCGTTACGCCCCTTACCCCTAAAGGCCGGCAAAGCACTTGTAACTCTTAGATGTTGCGGGTGTGCATGGGCTGTGCTCATTGCCTACGATCAGGTAATCTGTACGAAATGAACTATTTGAATATACTTACAGGTATGACTGGCTCAGGTTGTTTGGTGAAAACGATTCTGCCGTCGAGGAATGGAGGAACTATGTTGTGGACCAATAGATGCACGCGGTCAACGTTCTCCTGCAAATAAAAATTTGAATTTGATTAAATAAGGTTCAATATATTGTTAATTATATTCTGCCCGGATTACACCTGGCCTCGGTGTGATTCCAGACTATTATATTTAGCCAGCGGCTTTGTCTGGATAAAAATTAGCCTTTCTATTATTCCAGACTATAATCTATCTGTGCTTATTTTCATTGAAATCCATTCAGCAGTTTTACGTAACACAAATGACGTAATAACATAGTACTCATACATATATACAAACCATTGCGTTTATAATTGGGTAGTTTCCTAGGTCAAAAATAAATTAATTCGATGTTTCAATACAATAAAATATTGAAAAATAACTATATTTTTATTCATCGATCGATCGATACACCAAGTTTTAGATTTTTTTAGCTAATTATTGTGAAATAAGTAAGCTATTTGACGCCAAAAAACTATGACGTAATAACTCAGTTTTTCATACAAATTTCATAGAAAAGTATCGTTTTTGACGTTTGGATAAAAGTATTGAATTTGACTAGTTGGAAACTACCGTATTAGGACATAGGTTTTTAGGCATAAATTAATACAACACTTGTCTTATTTTGTGGTTTTTGGAGAAGTATTTCATCACGTGGGTTTCGTCATAGACTAGACATGACGAAGGTACCACATATTGACAAAGACAGAGCTAGTAGTGCCACTCTCTGACACACTTGAACCTTTTATTAGGATCGCCAATCGGCGTGCCAAGCGGTGGAAAGTGACAAATCTCTTCGTACGCAAGACATATTTATAGTCTAGCAATAGACTGCTCATATATTATCATTAGCCTTTAAGTGCCTACTGCTGATTAAAGGCCTCTTTTCACACTTGCTCATAGCGGATTAACGATTTCTAACTTTAATGCGAAATTAGAGGTGCAGGTTTCGTCACGATGTTTTCCTTTGCTGTATATCAGCAGTGATGTGACATATAACTAAATAAAAGCCCTATTTGTGCTTGGCAAGTTTCAATGGGTGCCATAACCTCCAAAACGCCTGACAACATTTAAGGGTGGAGATTATCATTTAAGTGTGGGAGAGCCATGCTTCAGCACGAATGGGTCGGCTCGACCGGAGTGATACCACGGCCTCACAGAAAACCGGCGTGAAACAACCACAGCGTTGTGTTTCGCCGTGTGAGTGAGGTTACCGAAGGCCCAATCCTTCCCCTTCCCGGACCCTTCCCCAAACCCTAAATCTCCAAATCCCTAATCCCTAAAAGGTCGGCAACGCATTCGTAACTCCTCCGTTGCGGGTGTCCATGGGCGGCGTTGATTGCTTACCATCAGGTAATCCGTCTGCTCGTTTGCCTACTTATTGCATTAAAAAAAAGGGTTATTTCCAACCCACTAAGAAACAAAAATATTAATATCTTAACCCTATAATTATACAAAAAATGGCTACATACCTCATCCAAATCATTATTAACATTGATAGCGTGTACAACTCCACTGGTAAGCATTCTGTTTCGCTCCCACAGTTCGTTGTCCTTGTCTATCTGTTGTCTCTGCGCGGACACTTTCCTGTTTCTACGTTTCTCTATTTGTTCCTCCTTGCGAGCTACGTAGTCGGCTGATGTACCGGCGAAGGGATCTGATTCGTCTGCTTCACCTGGAGCGTTGTAAAATCGAATTTATTGTGAATTTAATTAGGTTCATTTTTGTGGGGTAATAAGGAGATCTTTGATTAGTACTTCTTTGATATTCATTTTATTATAAAATTAACCTTGTGATGTTATGTGTAAGATTCATTATTGTGTTTTGTTGTTCAAAAGTGATTCAAGTCAAATTATTTCGTTATAGTATATATTAAGCTTTATAGAAAAAATATTCTTATGTTCTTAATGGAAAAGTTTATATTGTTTGGTATGGGGAAAGCTACCATGATTAACTTCACTTTGTTTTGATATAATGACTTATTGAGATGTAGTTATTCAAAAGTCGACCTTGTAGTTTAATACATAAAGCTCATTACCGTATGTTTCGCTTACTATTGAATTATTCTGTACCATAACAACTTAGGCTAGAGTAGCATTGTACAGACATTCGTTTAGGGGACAAGCCCGCCATAGCTTCACAAAACCTACAGACTTTGATTAAGGTTAGCTTCTGTTCATTAATAATTATTTACCTTCGCCCATATTGTACCAAGCTCGGTCCAGTTTCTTCTCAGCCTCCTCCCACTCCGGGTCATCAATATCCACTCCTCGCCTCGAACTGGCGAATCTAGAAACATTCATAAATTAATGCATAACTGAAAAGGTGGCTGGGTTATCAGTTGCTGTATTGCGTGTTGCAGATTCGATTCTAGCATGGAACAACTCATTGTGTGTTCCACAAATTGTTATTCTATATACCCAGCCGATATGTTGATGTTGATGTAGAATTGATATAAATATGTTAAATTGTATGTTTGTAAAAGCACCTACAGGTGCTTTACAAAGGAGGAAATCCTAGTGTTGCAAGGGGAATAAAACCAAAAGAGAAATTAATCGGCAAAAAATCTTTTCTTTTTTATTTACAAAAAAATGTTGCCCCACACTAGGTCCTGTGTCGTCACACACAGACCCGGAACAACAATTCATGGATCACACAAAGAGTTGTTCTTTGTGGAAATCGAACCCGCTGCACGTAGTACGGCAGCCGTTTGCCCAGCCATCGCGCCAACAGTGCAGTCAAACAATGGCACAATTTTTACCAATCCATTATACAGTTTCTGTTTAACTTCTCGACAGTGTCGACTAACAGCACTAAACAACTGTAAAAACTTACTTATGAGGTGTAGCTCTTGGTGTATTCTCATACAATCTTCCCTTGTAATCTCGGAGTGGCCTTCCACTCCTCTCACTCCTCTGTGACCGGTCACCACCATCACGAGTCAGTGGTGTTGGGAAGTCCCAACTGGACTTACGCAGGGGAGCCTTGGGATCATCGTCATCATCATCCCAGGCTGTCTTGTCAGTCGGTTTTAAGACTTTCATGCTGAAAAGTTAAGGTAGATATTTGTTTGACGTTAATAAAAATGAAGTATAAGTAATATAAGTTAGTATTTTAGCATGTTATAATTCATTATAGGAAACACAAATATTTACAGATGGACTAATTAAAAATTAACGATAAAAATGGCTTCAACATTACCACAGTTAATTAGTATATTAAGTAATTGGGTAGTTTCCTAGGTCAAAAATGAATAAATTCGATGTTTCAATACAATAAAATATCGAAAAATAACTATACTTTTATTCATCGATCGATTGATATACCAAGTCTAATATATTTTTATTTTTAGCATATTTTTAAGAAATAAGTACGCTATTTGACGCTAAAATACTATGACGTCATAACTCAGTTTTTCATACATTCATAGAAACATCGTTTTTGACATTTGGATAAAAGTATTGAATTTGACTAGTAGGAAACTACCGTATTGTATACTCAACATACCTAGGAGTCCTAGGCTCATCTTTAAACCTAGGTTCATAGTAACTTCTCCTAGAACTTTCACCCCTTCTCTCACTGTCCCTATAACTCCGTTCTGAGTCCCTTCCATCTTTCCGTCTGTCCTTATCACGGTCTCTATCCCTCCTGTCATCTCTCCTATCATCCCTTCGACGATCACGATCACGGTCTCTCCTATCATAGCGGTATTTGTAGTAACGATCATCCTCATCATCCTTAGACCGTGACTTTTTCTCTTCTTGTGTTGAATAATGTACACCTTTCTCTTTTGCTTCCTTTTCTCTTCTGTAAAAGTTTCAGAATAAATATAAATAAATAAACTTATTACTTTATCCATTACAAAGAGACTGTCAAGAAGGGACGTTGGAAGATTCAACGGTTGAGTTTGTACATGTATTACAAATAAGATGGGTGAAGTACTGCACTTCTAGATTTATTAGTAAACCTGCATTATGTACTGAAGTTTTATAAAACAAGGGGTTAATACCGTTACTTATATCGTTTCACCAGATGCTCGGTCCCTACAGATCATAATGTGATGTTTTACAACCTGTAACCTTAATATATGGACTAACAAACACAAAAAGAACCATTCAATTAGAACTAGTAGTTGTGGACATTAGAGTGCACAAACAAAATCTAAAGCTACATAACATTAGTGTATGGTCTCATCGTGGTACATTTTTCTTAGATTTGGCCAGCAAGTTGCTTAATGACATGATTGACAAATTCCAATATAACCAATATAACTCCATAGCTATCAACATTTGAGAAAAATAATCACTGTCCACTCTTGTAATTTACTTTTACATAAATATACTCAACTTGTGTATTTTAGTGGAAAAGTGTTTCTCTACCTATACTAAATCAATTTAAAAATCTTCATGACAAATTAGTGTACAGAGTCAACTACTCACAACCCATCCAATTAGTACCTACAGATGATTACTTTTATAGCATTTACAAAATGTAACAATCATTGCAATAAACTTAATACACAGTACAATAAACTCAAAGTTAAATTATTTATTTCAATCAGACCATTATAATTTTGAACATCAAACAAAGGTAAAAAGATGTCAGTAGGTCAATTCTCTAGTGAAACTATTATTTTGTTTTTTTCCAAAATGCAGATATGAATGTACAGAAATAAGCAAGGAAAAGTTTAATAACCGTTCGTTGGATAGGAACCATACTAGTTTGAAGTTTTCGATAAGACTCGGCTAACTCTATGGTTACCTTTTTAAAACATAAGTTTATGCTTTAGTTCTATTTAAAACCCTTTCATTATCACAGAGCATGGTATGAGAATGTGTTACTTGTCTTACTTAAAATAGTATTTTACTAAAAAATCTAAGTAATACACCTATATTGTGTATCATTTAGTACTACTGTCTGTCATTCAAAAAGTTAATTGACGATATATTTCAAGTTTGTTTTTCTTTTTCAAATTACTTAATTTTGATTTGAGTCACGCTCTAATCATATCAAAAAGTACAACTTTCAAACCAAATCTATTACTTCTCAATTGCTGTAGAATGAAAAATCCTAGTTCTATTTTATGTGAATGGTAGCAAGGCTATTTTAAACAAGATAATACATGACAATAAAAGCCTAATATAGTCAGTATGAGACAAAAATATTGCACAATAATTTCTTTATAATTTCAGCTAAAAGAAACTTGTAAGTTTTTATGATAAATATGAGAAGCTAAGAACTTAACATAACCATGTCCGAACTTTTGGCTTTACGAATAAACAACTTGACGAACAGATTTTATAACTTGTTATTGATGAAATCAAAACAATAGCTTAAAAGATAAGTAAATAACAAATATTCTTACTTCTGCAGCCTCTCAAGCATGCGTTCTCGTGCCTGCTCTGATATACCGCCAGTGTAAGTCGGTGTTTCTTCATTATGCTTTCTGTATTTACGTTCTTTTGAACTGCTGGCCTCGGATTTACTGTCCTCGCCGTCATCCTCATTTGTATCGTCTTGGAACGATATTAGCCGGTTTTGCTTGCGTTTGGCTGCTGCCAGCTTATCCAGCCCTAATAAAGAGGGTTTAGCAAACTGAAACTCTGCCGGAGGATCCTTCTTTTTGATTATAAGCCCGCCCGGAGCATCGCCTGAAGATCCCGCCAAACGATGCAAGTTTTCATCCTCTTCTGACATCGCGAGCGAAATAACCACTTACTAACACTTATTTCTTAACTAAAATTATTGATTATTTGATACTCATTTAGTTTAATAACGGCTTATTTACGAAGTAAATAAATTACAAAAACATTCCACTCGTGTGAAACGAGTGTTTGACACTATTGACAATTAGTCAGCATGACAGATCAGGTGACAAAACCTTGACAGTGACAGTTTTGAGTGTGGTAGCTGATAAAAAATTATAACAAAAAAAAAACATTGTCATTAAAATAATGTACCTATTAGCCCTTTCTTTAATTTACCTATTCATTGGGATTATAAACATATTGTGAAATATTATTTTTATCTTTACTAGTCAATTTAGTAATTTACATTGTAAAGTGGTTTAGTGTTTGAAAGAAATTTTCGATATGGTAGAGGTACATTTGCACAATACCTAATTCATATTTTTGCGAGACTAGCTAATCCCGCGCGGTTTCACTCGTTTCTCAGCTCCATTATTTTGATTGTAGCTTGATGTTTTATAGCCTACCTATAGCACTCGGAAACATTGAAGCTATCAATAAGTGAAATAATTTTATCAGTGGTTCCAAAGATTACCCCCTACATACAAACTTACAAATTTTACCTCGTATTTTATTACCCACTATTGAAGGGTCGGAAATTTTTTTTTGGCTTTATGCCAATAAATGTTTTAATTATGCGCATCGCTTTTATTAAAAGATACAGCATTGCGTTTTTATTTACAAACCATAAAATCACCATTACATAACATCCAGACCTCTAATTACCATATAAGTTTAGGAGAGCCATGCTTCGGCACAAATGGGCTCGAACAGAGTGTTAATATGGCCTCACAGAAGAAATATAATAGGTATAATGGTCTACAACTAATAGTATATTACCTTATCTAGCCCTTGGGACAACCGTGCTTTCAAATAACATGGGTTTTGTTGTTGTATGCAGCTCTTTATACTCTTTCGATGATCTGACTTACGTCATATGACTCTCTATTTCAAAAACAATACCTGAAACACTTAACAACAAGACGTGTTGCATGGGCGAGAATATTTATTCAAGCCCGAAGCACTCCATGATGTACAATATTCAAGAGCTGCTAGCATTTCTCCAAGATTTAGGAAGGCAACTTGCAAGCGAATACGTCGACTCATTAAATATTTCACAACCACTAGAAATACGTCTTAGTGAAGGGTTTATTTTGAAACAGTTTCTTATTGGTGCACTTCGACTACTTACTTGAATCAATACCCAGATGTATTAATAGGGATAGGAAGACACTAGAGGACTATCAGACACTTCAATTCTAATAGGAATGGGTAATCTTCTTGGTTAAAACTTTAATTTTGTAGTATAAATTCGGAAAAATAAATGGTGGTTAGGAATGAATAGATATCTACTTTAAAAAGAGCAGTATGAAACGATTAATGACTCTAGTACCTACCTACATTTAAAAAATAAACTAGGTACATGTTTTATAAAAAATAATGTACCTACCTAAGTAAGATTCCGTATTTATGTTGAGATCTCATCGCTATATTATAGTATCTAATGCAATTAAATAATTACGGCTTAACGATTTTCATTGCTAGAAAGAGATAGTGTGTTTTTCTATTACTGAAGGATTATGTAGATATGTACAGAACAAAATAATTAAATTTTAGGGCAATTTAATTTGAGAAAAATGGAACGACCAGCAAGGCTGTAAAGTCGCATTTTATTCTTATTTCATAATACTAACGGGCCTGAAAACCTTGTATGTAAATCAAATACGATAGGCCTTATGCCATTGAAAATAAGATATGACCTCAAGTCTTATTTACTTTACAATTTATTAATAAAAAATCTGATACACGAACAACCGCTAAAGTAGGTATTTTCCGCAAATTATTCTTGCTTATAAATCTTTCAATTTGTTCCATCAACCAAAATAGAACAGTTTGTGATCATCTGTTGAGGCATTGGGACGTGTATGCCAAGACTAAAAAATCGGCTATTGGCGGGAAAGTTTTACGCGCGAATATATATTTTTTATACATTAGAACAGTTTTTTTTTTAAATTATAATATTAATGTGCAGTGGGCGTAGTACTTATAATTTTAATATACTTAAAAGTAATTAAATGTTATGGGTGAAACAGAGATGAAATTAAATATTGAATAACGTGTGATAAGTTAGTTTACTGTGAAACAAAAAAAAGTTTTTTATAGTAGTGTCTCTGAGTTTAAAAAATTATGGCCTATGTTGAAAATTTGGGAAGAAAGGACGCAATCAAAGAAGAAGGTAAGTTTTATAGGATAATTTTAAAATTACAACATAAAAAAATGATTAATACATTTAGGTATGGGTACGAAATCGTGACGTCATAATTTAGATGTTACTATTTTTTGCTATTTAGGTATTTAAACATTGCCCCACACTAGGATTTTCTCGTGTGTCGTGGGTGCGGTTACAAACATATAATTTCCCATACACATGACACCCAGACCCGGAACAACGATTTGTGTATCACACAAAGAGTTGTTCCGTGCGGGAATCGATCCTGGGCAGCCAGTTGCCCAGCCACCGTACCAACCGTGCAGTCAAAAGTCAAGATGTGCATTCATATCGCACTTATTTCTTTTAAATTATGCTAAACAAGAGTGTTGACATTATGGATACTTTTCTAATAAGTTTACATAGCTAAGCAAATCATATAATTTATTTTTGTCATAGGTAGTCATAATTTTTTTATAATAAAATTGTTATTATATCGATCTATTGCTTAGTTTTGAAGAATACTTAATGCATGGGTGTAAAACGGCTATTAGATACAACAGATAGAATCTGAATATACGTATTATCTCGATTGTGTATTTACATATACATGCCTCGAGTTACGAATGCGTTGCCGGCCTTTTAAGGGTTTTGGATTTGAGTATTGGGATCATGAAACGAAAAAAAACCTTAATTTTTTTTCTTTGTAACATTATGGTATGCAAATAAATAAATATGAAATATGATTCTTAACGCTGGAGATCTCGCAAGTACGACGAAACACAGCACAAGCGTTGTTTCGCGCCAGTTTCTATGAGGCCATGCTGTCATAGCACGGGTCTAAACGGCATATACTCTCCGCGCGGTTCTCTCACATAAAAATACCTACGCAGGTATCGATAACCGACTTGTTTACATGTCTTTATTTTTTCCTATTTGTGCTTATTATGCTATTTACTGTAGGCAAGCCATTTCGTAAATATGCTCTTCATCTGTCAATTTGCAATTTACATAATTTTCGAATTACCTCAAAACCTTTGTTGTTTCCATGGACTTATTGTTTTTTAATTTTGTCCTTTGTTTGAATTCAAAGGTATTAATAGAAGGTACTGTCAACACTTTTGGGTTTTATTTATGGCGATAATGATCCCCTTTATAATTTATTTTAAGTGTGCTCATAAAAATATAATGGATTTGTGTTTTTTGGTTTATCATCTGTCCATTTCCGTCACTTCGATAACTATTGGATGTAGGGATAGGGAATACAGTGTGGGAAATCTATGTTTCGGCGGACGAATGGTTTGACTCGACCGGACTGATACTACAGCCTCACAGGAAACCGACGTTAAACAACCACAGCGTTGTGTTTCGCCGTGTGATTGAGGTTACTGGAGGCCCAATCTTTCCCGTCCCCCAATCCCTCATCATTATCATCATTATTATCAGCCCGATTTCGTCCACTGCTGGACATAGGCCTCCCCAATTGTACGGCCCTGAGCTCGATGTTCACAGTTCAGCTCTTCTCCTGCCTCTCTCACCCTGCGGGTATCCCTAGACCCCCTAGCTGGAGAGGGCCAATCCTTCCCTAATACCTAAGTCTCCAAAACCTTAATCCCCAAATGGTCGGCAACGCATTCCTAACTCTTCCGTTGTTGCGGGTGTTCAGGGGCGGCGTGGATTACGTAGTAACTATTTAGTAATCTGTGGCGTGGATTGCGGCGTCTGCTCGTTTGCCGTCCTATCACATAAAAAAAAAAACAGAATACCTCCTTTTTGTTCCACCTTACACGAGTATCTTAAACTTCGTTTTGATTTGGCAGCATGGTTTCCGTTCTACTCGTCAATAATTACCTATACATATCTACTTAGATATATTATGTTAACGCTGACGGCAATTACAATGGTTCGACATTAAATGTGACTAATACGTCTAATTGACATTTTAATGTGCTGTGCTTCCTGTTGAAAAACAAAAAAAAAAAATACTATTCTATTTCATCTATCAAAATAAAATATCAACATTTATTTTTCTATTCTTCATTAGTAAGAAAAACATGAATAGATCTATTAGAGTAGAATATTTAAGCATGGCAACATTGTTTTGGATCTTAATTTGAATTTAAGGAGCGCGGCATTTAATCAGAAGGCCAATTGTTCAGGATAATTGAATTTATGGTTTCTTAGTATCAATTTAACTTTATTTGAATCTCAATGTATTATGCAAATACAAGGGAAGTGCTTCAAGACATATTTTAGACTAATTTGGAAAACAAAGATTTTGTTATTTTTTTGGATATTTATTTACCTTTTATCCACATAACATACAAATGAATCGAAAATTGGTAAGCGCAAAACTCGATAACGGCTGGACCGATTTTGTTAATTCCTTTTCTGGTGTGTTTCATAATATAAGGAAGAGATTCAAATGAAAAAAAAAAGTTAGACAAGTAGAGTTTCCAATTGGGAAGTAATGCCTCTTTTGTCGTTCATAATTATGGTAATTGGTACCCATGCGAAACAGGGGGGCGGGCTAATAGTCTTTAATACTTAAATGAGAAATTACTTACTAAAAATGTCGTAGTTAACGACTTAGTCAATAATAATTGCATTGTTCTTCTTTGTTCTCGTTGATTAAAAGCTTAAATGTTGTCTAGTAAATCGAGTGTCCTATAAATATCCCTGTCCTTACCGTTTCTGGATACTGCCAATAATAATAACAATGACACCTCCCCCACATCCAG